ATTCACGGAGGCTTTTGGCAGACCCGATGGGTCATGTTCTCCCATTGCTATATATATGGTGAAAGCATCAAAATTTCTGGGGAGAGGCCATGAACGAGCTTTTAGAACAGCCGCGCAGGGCCATGAGCTTTAACCACCCTACGTCCCACCCTCTGAACAAAGCCTGGGAAACCCGGTCAGTGTGCATCAAGCTTTCTTTTGGAGGAATAGGCCATTTTTTAAGGAGGATTGGAGGTAGTTGGAAAGCAGACACAGGTTTCTTGTGAAGATTTGCTCTTGGAGGGGTTGTCCTCTGCAATTTTGTAAATTGTTTTCTTCCACTGCCTCTGAGTGCTGCATAACCTGAATCATTCCAGGACAGAGGGATGGTCAGAGGACAGTCAAGGCTGTGTCCTACTTGGAGCAGCTTGTTGGTAGAGCAGATTGCCCAAGAGGAATTTTTTGGACCTGTGTTGTGGTTGTATTACAATGATTGTAACAGCCCCTTTGGGTTTCTAGAGTATTTAATAACCTTTTATAAAAGCAAATATTTAAATGTTCCTTACTAACCCCAATGCATGACCCACGCTTTGCTCTTCTCAGTGTGTTGAAGCCACCAGGCAGGACAGCTGAGCCACCAGGGAGAAGGACCAGCTCAGCCTGGCCCTTGTGCTTGGCCTTTCCTTAGGCTTGGGTTTTGGCCATGAGTTATAGACCTAGGGCAGGAATTTTAGGTTTGTTTGCTTTCCAGGAAAAGAGAAAATTACATATTTATTCACATCAAACAGTGGGGGTTGTCTTGAACAAAAAAAAGCATCAAACTGTTTAGAAGCCAAGTTTTCAAAACTTCAAACTAAATTTTGCCCCTGAATCATGGTTTTCAATAACTTAAGTCCCTTAGGATCTTTCTCATTTTCTTTCCAGTTTAAACAAGTAGATGCTTCTGTTAATAATATTTTTAGTAAACAGACAACAAAAAAGAACATGTGGGGTTTTTTTGTTTTGTTTTGTTTTGTTTTTTTTCTCCCATCCCCTTTATTTCCACAGGAATAAAAAAAACTTCACAATTTTTATATCAAAATGAAGTTGGGGGAGAAAATCTGGACTGGCTGTAGTGGGAAAAAAGCCCCCAAAACTTCCCCACTACAATGGTGAAGAATAGTTTGCAAGTTTCTTTAGGAATTTTCCCCTGATATTCCCCAGTTTGGTAAAGGCTTTACCTATATTTTTTGTGAAGAAATGATTTCGCCTGGATCTTGCTGCACAATTACCTACAAATACATTAATGACTCCAAGAGTTAGTTTGAGTCAGTTCTCAGGAAGAATTTATTTGCTTTGGTTATCCGCTTCCTGCATCTTGAAGAAATGGAATAGCTCAGGAAGGGTGTTTAATTGTGGCTCCTTTGACCCCAGGCTGTCATTGCCTGGTGTCCTGGGCTGGTTTTTGCACAACTGCTGATCCTGCAGCTGAGCAGCCTGGTGCCCTGGCTCCTGCACATGTGCTAGTCGTGGTTATAAGCCACAGGGTCGACCCGCCAGGTCTCCCGTTTTGCTTTTGTTGCTGTTCTCCATCACATGTTTCTGAAAGGTGGTAACCCATGAGGGAAATCTCCCAGAAGGAAAGGATTTCCCCCCACACCCCCAGCTGTAATTGCCTCATTCTAATGTACTGAGCTGTTGTGTGAACAACATGATACACCTTCTGGTGGCAAAGCCTTCCCATTACACAGAGCAGCTGTGGTGGCAGGTATCTCAGGCTTCTTCTGGGGGTCTCTACCTGGGAGTTTGGAGCATGGATGGATTCAGACAGGGATGTGTTGGCTCTGAGCCTGGAGGATGCTTTGGACTGCTCATGGCAAGTCCCTGGGAGAGGAACCAGAGAGGTCCTTGCTCCCAGGGCGCCCACCCCCTCTTCTTCCTTGTACATCCTGGGGGTGGCTGAGATACAGATAGCTCTGCTTCATGGCTAAGAGAAGGGCTCTGCAAACAGGGATGCTCCAAACACAACTCGGCGCAGTGCAAATATCTAGGCCACCCCATTTCACCCAAAATAGGGCAAAAACACTGGTCTCCCAGCATGACCTCATTAAGGAAAGTGAACATCGCACCCAGTTACCTCCCATATTGCACATGGTTTAGCAGAAGATTGCTTTCTTTTGGGGCAACCCACATAGTTGCAAAGAACAGCTTGGAAATGTGGCCAGCGTAGCACTGATGCAACACCTGCCTGGGCACATGGGGTGCTTGAAAGAGCAGCTCTCTGAGGGTGCACAGCCCTGTTCCTCTGCCATGAGGTTCACCCATGCTGTAAAGCAATTCAAGTGTGTGACATTTCTAAAGGAAGCTGCAGCTCCAGTGCAAAATGGTTTGGGGGCTGGAGGTAAAAGAGCAGTTGAAATTGCTCTGTGTACGCAGGATGAACTGATGCCGAAGGCTGCAGATTCTGGCAGAACTTACACATACTTAGTAAATGTGATTTATTCCCTCCTCATCACCTCACTTTAAAGAGAGATCCAGATTGCATTTGTTTGGTAGCCGTCTTTATTATTGTCTTCCACCTATTTATGAAAGATCTGGGCCAAGAAGAGCACCCCGAGTGATAAAGCATATGTGGGAATTGGAGTCTGTCTGTTTTGGCTTTCCTTATTCGATGGTAAAACACAGTTTGTTTCCTGTCTGTGTGCTCTTGCCCACCTCTGTCCTGCTGTTTTATCCGTCTGTCAAAACTAGTTTGACAGCTAGGTCCTAACCTGGCAAAGTTGAGAGCAATTTGAATGGTCCCATCAGCTTTAAAGTACCTACTCACCAGCTGGAGTCTCAGCCGGCCCTCAGCCTGAGATGGGGCCAGGGCTTCTCCCATCATGTGTAAAATGACATGAGATCAGGGACTTGGACTACAAACACTTCACACAGTCGGGTCTTCATACCCCGTTGGCCAGATGAGATGTCTCTTCCTTTGCTAGATGTGATCTCAGGTGCAGGCAGCTCCAGACCCAGCCATGCTGTTGCGTTTTCATTTCCCGCTCCTTTTCTGATGTTTAGACCAATAAAAAAAGGAGAAAGCGAGTGATAAGCAAGGGCTGTTTGATATGTTGGCATGAGAAAAGCCGTTCGTCCTTTGCATCCCATAACTCTTTTCCCTCCCAAACCCATTCTTGCTAGATCTAAATATATTAAAATCTTTGCATCAACATGAAAATATCACCTGCTAATGTCTGCAGAGCTGAAGGTTTCCAGCTCCCCCATGGAGGTAATTTTCTTTGTGCACCCTGGAGTGATCTCTCTTCTTGGGTGACTGTCCTGCCACCCTCTCCAGTGACTAGAAAAGTCAGATCCTCTGACTGAAATGAACTGGCCTCATTGAGATACTTACTTGATTTAAATACATGATCCAGGAGAAATATGAATCTTCCATCCTTTTTCTCTCATCTCTCCCAAGGAGAACGAATGGTTCCGGCCATGCCCTTGATTTGCTCTCCTCCCTGAAGATCCATGTCTTCTGTAGAGAAAGGCAGCTTTCTCTAAGACTGTATTTCACCCTTTCTCACCTGCTGTCAGTCTTCTACCCAGCACCTACATTTCTGTTGTTATCCTCCTTTGGCAGACGGGAAACTGAGGCAGTTTACTCTAACAGCAGCTGGTCTGTAGCAGAGCAGGACCGGACCCGACACAGCTCTATTAGACACACAATTCCCTGCCTGAGCCCCGGAGAGCAGAAGAAGAGGTACAAATATCTGCAGGAAAAATAAAGCAAGAACAAAACCACGTGCAGACACAGCAGGTGAGTGCGTAATGGTGGAAATAACCTGGTTAGTGAATTTAAAACCACTAGTAAATACTTAAAGAAAAGGGCTGAAGAATCTTTTCCAAAAGACTGGCTGGCTTTTTAGCTTAAAAAGGAAGGGAGGAGGATGACACAACTTGGTCAAGGTCACCTACTTGCCTCCATGGAAAAAAGACTTTCGTCCTGCTCTGCTATTGGAAATATTTTCAAGCAAGTTACAAAGTTGAAGGCTGCGATTTTTACTCCACGCGGGACATATGGAATGATCTTCCACTGTGCTAATGGTGTACACATTTCCACCTGTCTTCTCAGGACACGGACATGTAACTATATATAAAGCTGTGATCTGGCTATAAAAGTCCACGCAGCTTGTCCAGCCCACCCTTAGGTAGCGGCTCCCTTACCTGCTCCGGGCCAGGCTCTCCATGGGCAGGCTTCTGGCTTAGAGGTCATGCTCAGCAGCAATGGGTGAGGATGGGGTGAAAGCCCACAGCTTTTCTGGTGTTGATCAAGAAGCCAGCAGCCCCCCAGCTTTGGTATTGACATATGCTGTGGACTGGGGGGCTGCGGTTCTGCCCAACTGGCTTTGGAGTGCAGGGTGAGATATGAAAAGATTTTCCCTGAAACTCAGCAGGGCTTTCTGAGTCCGGTGTCTTCAGCTTCAGCCGTGGGCTCAGCACCTCTGCAGAGATAGAGAGACCCCCTACTTCCCCTGTCTGCTCCCAAAATGCCATCCCTGCCCTGTGTCCCTTGTCCACCCCGCAGGAGGTACCTGAGAGAAGTCTCGAGATCTGGGGACCATTTTCCTTTCTCACAGGGGAAAAGAAAAAAAACTTTTCCCGGGATTTCCTTACCCAGGAGGTCTCACCGGGCTGCAGAGGAGCTTGGTTTCGGGGAGAAATCCCTGGCTGTTGCCGCCGCTGCGGCTGGGGCCGCCTCTGAGCGCTTTTCCCAGGGAAAAAAAAAAAACACAACACCAAAACCAAAAAACCAACAACGAAATCCAAGTAATGGGGGGGTACCGGCGGGAGGTTACCTGCTCTGCTGCTGGGGGCTGGTTGCGGCACCAAACTCGCCCTGGTCTGGCCGTCTGCACTCGTTTAGTTTAATTTTTCTCCTGGGAGGAAACATCAGTTAAAAAGCTAGCCCAGCGCCACGGAGCACGGCCCGGGAGCGGAGCCGGCC